AAGTTCTTAGCAATGCATATTACTAATCAAAAATTAAGTTTTGATATATTTACAGTAGGAAATTTACAAAATATCTTCATGGAACATGATCTTTACTTTTTGGCATAAAAGAAAAATTGATAATTTTGACCCATACAAAATCAAGCAACAAACCTTTTTAACCTACTATTATTTAATATTTAACTATAGAATTAATTAATTATTATCTGTTATTATTTATTATTTTGCTCATTATATTATTTAAAGTATTTCTGTGAAGGAGAACCAGTTTTAGCAGTTAAAATTAAGACGAGATAATTCATTTCACATGTCTAAATATAAAATCATAAATCTCTCCAGTAGATTTGACAGTGTGGCGGATGTTGCTTATATGTTTTGTTCTCTTACTTGGTTTTGTGTTGATGATCTTGGTTTTATTTTTAGTATTGTTTATTTATTTATTTAAAAATAAACTTTTCTTTTCTGAATGAACTAGTGGAACAATCATGCATCTCTGTTTGCGTGATGTATGATAAGGGAAGACATCAATCTGCGGGGGGAGAGGGGGGTATCTTATTAAATCATTTTATTTATTTCTAATATTTTTATTCCTTTTGTGTGTTCTCCTCTCAGAATATGGAGGTCCCGGCGGTCAGCCGTCAACACGCCACTCTGCTCTTCAACACTGCTCTGGAACAGGGCAAATGGGATCTGTGTCGTCACATGATCCGCTTCCTCAAGGCCATTGGTTCAGGGGAGAGCGAGACTCCGCCCAGCACACCCACCACACAGGTGAGATGATGATGATGATGATGGACTCTGAGATGCTGCGTGTGGAAGCTCCTGTGGTGACCGCTTGTGTTTGCAGGAGCAGAGCTCCACGGGCGGCTTCGAGTTCTTCCGGAACCGCAGCATCAGTCTGTCTCAGTCGGCTGACAGCATCGCCGGCGGGAAGTTCAACCTGCAGAAGACCCTGAGCGTGCCATCCGGCCCGTCCTCCAAAGGGTAACGCACAGCTTTACCAGACACTAGCCGGGTTTCCATCCAAAGTTGCGAATTTAACTTATGCGCAAAATTGAAATATTGCATAAAACATTTGCGAATAAGCACCGTTTCCATCCAACGAGACAAAGAGAACAAAATCGTCACTTCCTGGTAGAACTGGC